GTGCCGGGAGCCTGCGAGTGACGCCAGCCGGCGGGATTGTCAAGGACAAGATTCACGCCGTCACCAAGAAACCATCGATTCTGAGAAAAAAGAGAGATTCGGCCACCGAGAAACTCCGTACAACAAGTGCTGAGACAGAAAAATCGCCGACTCCGCGCCACTGGCAATAGAGCCAATGGAAACCCCGGGTGCTGCGACCGTGATACCGGCACTAGAGGGTCTTGGATGGAGAAAGCGGCGCACGGAGACCAGGAAACTATATCTAGCACAACCAGCAGAAAACTGGTCGGCCCTCCGGGAGAAAGCGCGGATCAGAAGCAGGTGACTTCGGTGCAGGGAACCGCGCAGCCACTGAAGAACTTGACCTACGTGGCAGTGGTGCCAGCGAAACACCGCAGTTTGGACGGAAGCTGTGGGGATGCCACAGAGAAACATACACTGCCACTGAAGTACATCCAGCTCCGCGGAACTAGTGGTTATACGATCAAGAAACCGCCAGTTGGGCTCTACTAGAAACTTTTAGTCCTCTCATAACAGCTCTCCTACCCACAACAGACAAATGCCTTTACCCTGCACATAGTGGTGCTGAGACCTGCCTGGGCCAGCACAGAGCGCAGAGCAGTGCAGGTGCCGAGAAACTCCGGACTCAGTGAAACCAACCTTACAGCCAGCGGATTCCCCGGCTTCGCTGGACGCTACCGGCGAAAGAGTGCCGCAGGGAAACCTCTGGCTCCATACACGGATTAGATTGTGGGGCGGGGGACACTCACGTACTTGTTGGGGAGAGGACCAGCGGCGCTGGGATCCTGCAAGCACTTGCCCGCAGCAAATGCCTGTGCTGTTGCAAAAAACAACTTTTGGTGCAAAGAATGTTGACGCCGCTGGAGAGCGTCCGCTGTCACCGACAAAGGAGTAGCAATGGCAGTGAGAAACCGCTGGCGCCACGGCCGACCGCGGCGGCTAAAGCCTGTAATCTTTGCAGTTTGGGAGGCCGAGGTGGGCGCATCACTTGAGGTCAGGAGACTAGCCTGGCCAACAAGGTGAAACCCTATCTCACTGAAATACAAAAGATTAGCCGGGCGTGGTGGCAGGCACCTGTAATCCCAGCTACTCTAGAGGCTGAGGCAGAAGAATCCAGGAGGATTGAATCCAGGAGGCAGAGGTTGCAGTGAGCCAAGATCGCGCCACTGCACTCAAGCCTGGGAGACAGAGTGAGCTCCGTCTCAAAAAAAAAAAAAAAAAAGAAAGAACGAAAGAAAGAAACCGCTGGCACTGGGAAAGGAGCGGTGCAGCGATGGACCCACTGTGCTTTCCGTGCTACCAAAGTCCTGCGACCTCTACCCACTCTAGATTCCCAAGGCTGTTTTCTCGGGCTTAGGGAAGTCTGTTGTATTTTTCTTTCTCTCTCTCTTTCTTTCTTTCTTCTTTCATTTCTTTCTCTTTCCTTTTTTTCTTCTTTCTTTTCTTTGCTTTCCCTTCCTTTCCTTTTCTTTTCTTTCTCGTGCTCTGTTGCCCAGGCCGCTGCAGTGGCGTGATCACGACTCAGTGCGGCCTGGCCTTCTTGGGCTCCAGCTATCCTCCCGCCTCAGCCGGTGGAGCAGCTGGAACCACAGGTGCGCGACACCACACCCGACTAATTTTTTGTAGTTTTCGTAGAGACAGGGTCTCGTTTTGTTGCCTAGTCTGTTCTCGAACTCCTGAGCTCAAGCAATCTGCCCGCCAGGGCCTCCCAAAGTGCTAGAATCACAGGCGTGAGTCTCCGTTCTGGGTGGGAAGTCTGTATTGTTCCTGCATTCAACTCAGTGCATAGTGCCTGAGAAGAGGAGGCGGTTTAGGGGCCCAGCACCAAGCGGATGGGGCTGGTTCCAGGAACAAAGTAAAATCCATTCTGATCGCCAACAGCTTCCTGCGCAGGAAACAGCCCTTCCAACCTCCGTGGCGGCGGGAATTTCCCAGGCCACCCCTCGGTCCCAGAGTCTCCTCCCAGTCCAGAGCTCTCAGGATCCTACAGGAGGGGCGGACAACTGCTTCCCTTCCAAACTGGAAATTCTGCCTAGCGTTTTTTGACCGCGCCTTCAGGCCTGACCCCCGACTCTCTCGGTCCCGTACCTCTCCTGCGGGATGTAATTCTGTGGGAACCACTCGTTTATTCTGATGATTAACTGTCAGATACCCTTGATATTTGGGGATTGTCGATGGAAGAGAGTAGGAGAGAAAAATGGACTGCAAGACTCCAGCGCAGGAAGTGGCATTGATGGCAGAGGTCCGCTCCCTCTCCAAGGCCAATGAACATCTCAAACTGCTGTCCACTTTCCTATACCCTTGATCTGTGGAATGGATCACTGATGTTTTCTCTCTCTTTCGGGAAATGCAAAGCAGGCGAATATTCAAGCGCTTGAATTCTCTGTTTCCCACTTTTCAGTCAGAGTGCAGCTAAAAACTCCTTTCCCATGGGAAATATGGAACTGCCTCTGCCCGGAAGAAAAACGTCCCTTTCCTCTAAGCTTTCACATTTCCCCAAAAATCTACACATCCCGTGAAATCCTCACGAGAGACCTACAGACCCTACCGGGAGCGTTCCCGCATCATCTCCCAACCTCACCCAGAAGATACCATGCAACCAATTCCATCCTTTTCTAGATGAACCTGGGCAGAGGACAGGTCCAGAGGAGCATAGAAAAGGGCCTTTACAGGTCAGGAGACCCAATTTGAAGTCGCAATTCTCATCCACTCCTAAGGCATTTGCCTTGGTCTTCCCCTCCCACTATACTACTTCTGCTAGCTGGTTTCTCCCTGGTATTTGAGGATCCTCCAATTGCCTCCTGGTCTTAGGGATGGGAGAATAAAGGAAAAATGGCATCGTTTCCACCTAAAAAGTTACAAGCACTTCACCAGAAGTAACAGCCCAGGCAGAGCCTTTGTAAAAGAAAAGCCCCACCCACTGCTTCGCACTCCTCATTTCCCGCCAGCAGAGCATTTTAGTGGAAAAGCTGAGCGGGAGCCATAGTTCACTCCAGTAATCCCAGCACTTTGGGAGGCCCAGGCGGGAGGATCACTTTAACCCAGGGATTCAGGACCACCCGAAGCACATAGCAAGACCCTGCCACTACAAAAAATTTTTAAAAATTAACCAGATGTGGTCGCGGGTTCCTGTAGCCCCAGCTACCTGGGAGGCTGTGGTGGGAGGATCTCTTGAGCCCAGGAGGTCCAGGCTGCAGTGAAAGATGATCCTTGACGGCACCACTGCACTCCAGCCTGGGTGACAGAGTGAGACTTTGTCTCAAAAAATAAAATGAAATAAAAATAAAGCCAGGATTAGGAACTCTTTAAGAAGGGGTCACCAGAGACATTATTACCTACACCATTAACAGGGGAAAATGCTGCAAATTAAAGTATCATAATGGTAGGAGGCCACCCCTGTAAAAATACATACCTGTTTCAGAGACACTAAAGTGAGAAAAATATTTACCCTAGAATTGATTAAATTCAGGTATCCACTCCTTTATTTTAAAACTTAAGTGCCTTTACCTCTTCGAAATTGCATGGAGATTGGAGTTGTGATTTTTTTATATTTATTTATTTAGAGACAGGGTCTGGCTCTGTTGCCCGGGCTGGAGTGCAGTGGTACCATATCAGCTCACTGCAACCTCTGCCTCCTGGGTTCAAACTATTCTGATGCCTCAGCCTCCCAAGTAGCTGGGATTACAGGCACCAGCCACAACGGCCAGCAATTTTTTTGTATTTTTAGTAGAGGGGGGTTTTGCCATTTTGGCCAGTCTGGTCTTGAACTACTGGGTTCTATATGATCATATTTGTTTTTTCACAATGTAGTTCAATACATTGAAATGGTTGGGCAAGTGGCAAAATAATAAAAATTGCACCTCTGGTTTTTTATAAGGTGCAATTTATCATAAATACTTTCAGCTTCTTGCCTCATCTTTTACTTCTCCTCACATATTGAGTGGTTCATGGCACAAAAATCATTATTTGTGAGACACTGTGCCAACTGTATTTTGTGCTTTATCTGATTTCATTCTCAACTGAAAACTGCGGTGAGCGCATGCTTTGTACTGGTCTTGCTTCTCAGTTCCATTTTGTAGATGCACAGCCTCACTTAGGGAAGTTTGAGTTTGTATAGCTCTGCCTGTGGCTGAATAGATAAATGTAATTTTACCATTCGGTGTGAAATCAACTTTTAGTGTGAATTTAAGGCCCATCTTCTAATATGGGGGGTGTGTGTGTGTGTGTGTGTGTGTGTGAGATTTTACTGTGTCTCTTCTCCCTAATACTCCAGTTCAAGATACCAACCTAAATTCTGAGTTGATTATTCTGGACACACTCCCTCAAAATACGACTGTAAGAGACCAGAATACACCACCCCAATATGCCAATATATCAATATACCTCTGGTATATTGATTATTTCAGGCCGAGCATGGTGGCTCACACCTGTAATCCGAGTGCTTTGAGAGGCCAGGAGTTCATGAGCAGCCTGGGCAGGTAGAGAGACCCATCTCCACAGAAATATTTTTAAAAGATTAGCTGGGCATGGTGGCATGTGCCTGTAGTCTTAGCTACTGGGGAGGCTAAGGCAAGAGGATGACTTGAGCCCAGGAGTTTGAAGTTACAGTGAACTATGATTGCACCACTGCATTCCAGCCTGGGTGACAGAGTAAGACGCTGTCTCTTAAAAAACAAGACAAAACACTCACGCCTGTAATCCCAGCACTTTGAGAGGCCAAGGTGGGCAGATCACTTGAGGTCAGGAGTTCGAGACCAGCCTGGCCAACATGGTGAAACCCCGTTTCCACTAAAAATACAAAAATGAGCCAGGCATGGTGGCACGCAGCTGTAATCTCAGCTACTTGAGAGGCTGAGGTGGGAGAATTGCTTAAACCCAGGAGGTAGACGTTACAGTGAGCCAAGATCGTACCACTGCACTCCAGGCTGGGCAACAGAGCAATACTCCATTTCAAACAAAACAAAACAAAACGAGATAAAAGAAAAACCTCAGCCTGTACACCTCTTTATGACAGAACAACACAGAAAGAGAAAGACAAAGAAAAGACTACTCTAGGAGGAAATGGATGAAACAATATGATTCATACCACAAAGTACCAGAAAGTACACCAGAGTCAATACACCAGCACTGGTCACACAAATCCTTTTCTCCCATCAGTCAAGATTTTGGACAGGAAAAATGAACAAAGAGTGATATTTACTGTCTACTTGACCAAATTCCACAGAGAGGGGCCTGGAATCTGACTGGTAAGAAATTCTTATCCTTAGGCTGGCTGATCAGCTCCTGGTTTTCCTTAACTGTGGACTTCCAAAAGAGCCAAACTTTGGGTTCCTGATTACAACACCAAATTTCTAGGGGCCAAGGGAAATCTTTCTCTTAGCACTCTGAAAGTTTGTTGTAAAATCAACTCACAAAAACAGAAGATTAACAGGGGAAAACACATACAAAATGTATGATTGCCCAACCCCCCAGTGAGGTGCAGGAGCTTATATACCAGCTTGAGGTTACAGAAAGAAGTGGATCATGGCAGAACTGGTTATAGGAGGGAGAGAAGATGAGGTCTGCTAGCAATAGTAGTCTTGTTATGTACATGAAATCTCACAGATAGCATCCCTCAGAGAATTGTTTCCTTAAGACCTTTAAATGTGTTAGGCTCTCATTAATCCTTCCTACATCTGGAAAAGAGAAGGCCTGTATATATCAAGGCAGATTTTCTACAGATGCAAATTTTTCCCACACACAATGGCATTGCAAGGCTACTTCTTTTGCTGCCTCTGACAGCCATCTTAAAATATGTCAAAGAAATATATTTTGGGGTAAGACATTTTTATTTCTTTCAAAGTGGAATATTAAGTGTATATCTCTCATAGATATACTATTAAATAAATAAGGGAATCCACTTTTTCTATTTGTTAAGATATTTTTTGTTTTAATAATGAAGAGAGGTTAACTTTTAAAAAGGTTTTCTACATCTACTGATACTATCATGCAGTTTTATTTATTTTTACAGTTAATGCGGTGAATAATATTGACTGATTTTCAAATGTGAGTTCCTGGAGTAAATCCTACTGTATCATGATGTGCTTTTAAAATATATATATTGCTGGATTCAGTATGCTAATACACTACTCATAATTTTTAACATCTGTGATCATGAGAGACATTGGCTGACCAAAAATGGGAAACTGACAAGAGTAATAAACAAAATGGGCTTATAAATATTCATACCTGCTTGATACTTAAAAAGGCCTTTTAATGTATTTTTCTGCACCACTCAGGCGGACTTTTAAATTTCTGGCAAGAGGTCTCATTCAGGCTATTCAAAGGTCAATATTAATCTGAATTATTCCACGTTTGTAGGCATCCTCATTATCTTTTCAATACAGATTGAATATTGGGGATTCAAACGGCAGAGGAAAAAGTCAAGGCATATAAGGTAAGCAGAGCAGCATATTTTTTTGGTCTGGCTTCCCTAGGCAGCATTAGCTAAAGTGAAAACTTATATGAGACTTTTTAATTTAAAAAAAAAAATTTTTTTTTTTGAGAAAGTGGAAGTTAGGAGAGGAAGTGGAACAGAAAGGAGTAAGGGGCAAATCAATGTTCTGATACCTCACTGGCCCATATGGGATATCATGCAAGGCCACAGGCAAATTTACCATGCAGGTAAGAAAGTTTAGCTTTTAGGAGTCCTTCGAACAGGTCTGTAATTTTGTACTAGAATTTTTTATTCTTTTTTTTTTTTTTTTTGAGTTGCAGTCTCACTCTTTGCCCAGGCTGGAGTGCAGTGGCATGATTCTGACTCACTGCAACCTCCACTTCCCAGATTCGAGTAATTCTTGTCCCTCGGCCTCCCAGTAGCTGGGATTACAGGTGCCCACCACCACGCCCGGCTAATTTTTGTATTTTTAGTAGAGACAGAGTTTTGCCATGTTGGTCAGGCTGGTTTTGAACTCCTGACCTCAAGTGATCCACCTGCCTTGGACTCCCAAAGTGCTGGGATTACAGGAGTGAGCCACTGCACCCAACCATCTTTTTTAAAAAGAGAATCCCCTACTACTTGTATGAACATTAGGTTCTAGGAACTGAACCCACCCTGAACACAACTGTTTGCTTGATCACATGGAACCAACTTCTGGGAAGCCCTATCTATGACTGCTTCTAAGAATAATCCATTTAGAAGGAAAGAAAGGAGAATAATATATCCACTGTGGAAGAAATAAAACAATCCTGACAACAAAAAGGCCCCTGAGTACCCAATAGAGAGAGAACACTAATATTGAGTTAGCCTAAACAGATTTACATGCATGTAAGGTAGCATGACAACAGCTACAAAGCTGGGCCATATCTCTTATGTTTTGCGCAAAGCCTTGGGAATTATGAGAACTTCTTTTGCTGCTTCAAAAGAAAAAAGGCACACCTTGTGACAGTTTCCTGTATACTGAGAGACCCTCAGCTCATCTTGCAGGTGCTTTTTTAAAATATCTGGATGTTATTTTCCTATAGTCTTGGGAAAATTCTGGAGATCAGGCTTAATCCCTAGAGATATTATATTTCCACTGGTAGAACAAGGATTTAGAGTTACCCTGTTGAATGTAATATCACTGTTTTATTTCTTTTATGGTTTTTAGGAACAGAAACAGCACACTCAGACATGAAAAACTGTCCTGGCTTAAAGGGTTCCTTTCCTCTCAGGTGAGTAAGAAATGTCACTTCCTGACAGGACCAGGAACATCAGGATATCTGGAGGACCTTAAGAAAAGGAGAATTCATCAAATTTCTAGGTATTGCAGGCAAAGTATGATAGCAAGATCCTGGTTTGGTTTCCTAGCATCTGGACACTTTTAAAAGTCTAAGTTGAGATTCCTTATGAAAATGTCCAGGTAAGCCAACTTAAAGAGAGCCTATGTGGTAAATCAGTATTCCTGCTGCACTTGTGTAAATAATTAGGCCAAGTTTAAAGAGACAAAATTTATTTTGCAAACAAATTAGTCTTATTAATACCTAGATGGTGTTTGATAGAAATGGGGCAAGTATAGAGAGAAAGAGTGCACAGTGCTAGGTGGTGATAACACAGAGGTGTGGCGTTTCCCAGTGGGAAACCAGATTACCCAGATAAAGACTTGCTGAGCCTCCCTTCATGCTGACTAATTACTTAAATTATGTAAACTACACGTCCTTACCTATGGTATGGACAAAATAATGGCACCTAACCAAATGGGACAGTATAAATAAAACTCTTCGTAGAGTAGCTATCATCTAGTATTTTTTCCATAAACAATACCTAGTGTAACTTTTTAAAGTGACTAGCATTAAAATTCTTTTATTACTTTTAAATTATTCCTAAACATTTTTACTATCAAAATAATACATATTACTTTAAAAATGAAATGAGACAGTAAGGCATAAAGTGAAATCAGAACTTATACCTTCCTTTTCCCAATCTCCCAAATGATAAGTTACTACTATTTATATATTTTGGAGTATATTTTTGTTTTTATGCAAATGCAAACATGAATATTACTTTCCTTCAAAGAAATTGTATAGAGGGAGAAATAACTTGTCAGTTATTACTGTTTTTGGACATTTCCCCCTCTTTATTGGAAAATACTGTCTTCTTTTAAAAGCAGCATCCAGTTTATAGACTATATTGTATCATATAATCCATAACCACTAATGCATAAGGACTGCACTGCAGCATACGTTCCTAGAAGTAAAGTTATCATTGCTGAGAGTACCATATCATCCTCTGGAGTAATTGAACCTCTGGAGAGTCAGTTCTACTTATAGTGCAAAACAGTGCTTCAAGTTAGAGTCAGCATATTTACTGATTCTATGCAGTAACCAGTGCTATCTATGTTTCTCCAGGTTTGTCAAATTATACCTTTTCCTTTAATCAGGGTGGGCTCATAGTTGTCACAATTTGTGTACTAGGGGTGAGGGAAACTGGTGTTTCTCTCTAAAGAGCTCAAATTTTATCTGACCTGGTTTTCTTTTTCTTTCTGTCTTTCTTTCTTTTTTTCTTTTTTTTAATGGTGTTTCTTTGTTGCCCAGGCTGGAGTGCAGTGGCGCAAACTCAGCTCACTGCAACCTCCACCTCCCCAGTTCAAGAGATCCTCCTGCCTCAGCCTCCCGAGTAGCTGGGATTACAGGCATGCACCACCATGCCTGGCTAATTTTGTATTTTTAGTAGACACGGGATTTATCCATGTTGGTCAGGCTGGTCCCGAACTCCTGACCTCAGGTGAGCCACCCACCTCAGCCTCCCAAAGTGCTGGGATTACAGGCGTTAGCCATGGCCCCCAGCCTGTCTGACCTACTTTTCAAAAGCAAAAAGATGAGCAATAAAAGGGCAGTTAATTAGCAAGACCTCCTTCCCTAAGATCTCATTCTAAGGTTGGGAGATAGGACAACAGACAGGAAGAAAGATGTCAGAAAAATATATTTAAGAGAAAAATGTTCTTTTGGCAGGCCTAAGACATTTTCTATTAGAATGTACTTAGGGTCTCTCCTAGCATCTTCAGATTGTTCTGTCATCACCACCCGTGTTTACTGAAACCCTCCTCCCTTTCCCAATGCCCCCACCCCGACTCCAAAAAAAACCACACACAAGGTTAAGCCTGCTATCCAGTGTGTCCTGGAAGTCCAAGGAAGTCGCAGATACCTCTGTGGTCTGGGGATCCCAGTCTTGGAATGGGAGTGGGATTGAGTTCTGGGACAAAGGTGAAATCAGACATGGTAAATCAAACACCTGGCCTGTGTTGTAGGCTAGTGGTTTAAATGTTAGGATTCTGGCATGATCCTGCTGTGGTTCAAATTTCTCACCTCTTTGACTTTCAGAAGTTAGTTTAATCCTTGTGTTTCATTTCCATTATTAGTAAAACCAGATATAATTGCGGTACTCATTATATCAGTGAGGTTAATGGGTATCCTTCCTTAAGCATAGTCTAGCACCATGTAAAATAATAAATATTAAGTAGGATTTTATTCTAATTACTCCTTTCCAGAAATTCTGGGGGCTATGTTTTACCTAGTATTAGTTCCATGGTGCGTGAAAGCTCAGACTTCCTTCTTCGGAAGCTACTTTCTAAACCCCTTTCACCCCACCTCTTTATTAACTAAGATATTCACCTCACCCTTTCCATCTTTTCCTGTCACCAACATTCTCTGTGCCTCTCTCGCTGTTCTGAGGCTATATCATATCCAGAAAATAATCATCCATCATTTCATAGTAGATTGTAAGAGCATTGCTAGTGTTCACATGTTTAATCACAGGATTTCATCCTCAATTCTGATACCTCCAGTTCGTGTTTGCTTATGAAACAGGGACTACCTGAGGGACTAATTATTTTGTTGCATGCTGTAGGCACTGATGTGTTTTTATTTAAATACATTGATTTTCTGGTTTGATCGTTGTTCTCATAGTTGTCACCAACTTGTGGGCTCATAGTTGTTACCAACTTGTGAAGTAGGGGTGAGAGAAACTGTGGTACTTCTCTCTAAATAGCTCGAATTTTGTCTGACCTAGTTTTCAAAAGAAAAAAAAAATAAGCAATAACAGTGCAGTTAATTAGTAAGACCTCCTTACCTAAGATCTCATTCTAAGGTCTGGGAGATAGGACAACAGACAGGAAGAAGGGTGTCAGAAAAATACATTTAAGAGAGAAATGTTCGGCCAGGCACGGTGGCTCATGCCTGTAATTCCAGCACTTTGGGAGGCCAAGGCGGGTGGATCACGAGGTCAAGAGATCGAGACCATCTTGAAATGCAAAAATTAGCTTGGCCTAGTGGCGTGCGCCTGTAATCCCAGCTACTCCGGAGGCTAAGGCAGGAGAATCACTTGAACCAGGGAGGTGGAGGTTGCAGTGAGCTGAGATGGTGCCGCTGCACTCCAGCCTGCTGACAGAGCGAGACTCCATAAAAAAAAAAAAAAAAAAGAGAGACAGAGAGAGAGAATGAGAGAGAGAGAGGGAAATGTTCTTTTGGCAGGCCTAAGACCCTAATGTTAGAAAAAAAAAAAAAAAAAGGAAAGTGGGGGGGAAAGAGAAAAATCATTAAACATCAAAATTGCCAGAAATTCCCTTGTGTACTTTTTCCCTTGCCTTTAACTTTCTGGTTTCTGAAATAGTAACTGATCAATGGGGTGTGATGAGGGAATAGATAGAGAATGAATAGCCCTGAATGCACTGATTATAGACTGCTTGCCAATAACCGCTGATAGAGTTTGAATACAATTCTACAATGGGGCAAAATATTTTTAAACATATGTCTGATGAAGTATTGACATCCAGAATAAATTAACACTTTCTAAAACTCATGATCAAAAAACAAACAACCCATTTCAAAAATGGGCAGAGGACTTAAACAGACATTTCTCCAAAGAAGACATACAAATGGCCAATAAGCACATAGAAAAAAAATGTTCAGCATCACTTATTCTTAGGGAAATGCAAATCAAAACTACAATGAGATACAGGTACCACTGCACATCCACTAGGATGGCTACCATTAAAAAAAAAAAAAAAGATAACAAGACTTGGCAAGGATATAAGGAGTTTGGAACCCCTATGCATGCACTGTTGTAGGCATGTAAATTGGTACAGCCAATGTAGAAAACAGAAAGTTCCTCAACAAATTAAAAATAGAATTACCATATGACCCAGCAATTTCACTTTTGGACATATACTCAAAAGAATTAAAAGCATAGTCTCAGGAAGATATGTGTACACCCAAGTTCATAGCAGCATTATGCATAATAGCAAAGATGAGGAAGCAACTCAAGTGTCCATTCACATATGAAAGGATAAGCCAGACGTGGTACATATAGACAGTCAGCCTTTAAAAAGAAGGAAATGCTAACATGCTACATCACAGGTGAACCTAAGGGACATTATGCTAAATGAAATAAGCCCAGTCACAAAAAGAAAATACTGTATGATTCCACTTACATGGTGTACTTGGGGTAGTGAATATCATAGACACAATGTAGAATGGTGATTTCCAGGGATGAGGGAGAGGAAAGTGGGGAGTTATTCTTTAAAGAATACAGAGTTTCACTTTTAGAAGATACAAAGAATTCTGGAGATGGATGATGACAATGGTTGCAAAGCATTATGAACTGTATGCTTAATGGTTAAGATGGTAAATTTTATGTGTATTTTACAGAGAGGGAGAACTGGGCACCCGCTCTTGCATGCTCTTCACTCACATCCCAAATGTTCATTAATAGATAGTCGCCCCTAAGCATTTTTCTCCTGGCAGAACAGAATTCCAGTCTCTGCTCAGGACTAGCAATGTGATTTGGGGAAATGATAAACTTTCTATAAACCAGGGTCCCCCAGAACAGCTTTCTCTTCATAAGCCCAGTACTAATTTTTCTTTTCATGCCCTGAGCCAAACTATTTGACTCTGTATAGCTTTCACACGAGATGATAGAATTTGATATCAATGTCATTAATTCCGTTTTCATATGCAATTTGCTTCTAGGATTAATGTCACCAGCCAGGTTCCTAAGCTATGTGGAACACCCAGGACCAGAAGAATATAAAATTGCAAAAGCTGGTGGCTCCTGAGTCCAAGAGTTCCTGGTTTTCCTGGACACAAACGATAGCGCAGCACTTTCTTCTCCGTGTGCCAGAGGCCTGGGGTTCTGCAGAAGAGGCCTGGAGGACCCAGACACTGCAAGGTCTGCGCTCAGTATATTCTGGGCCCTGTCCTCTCACCTTCTATTTCTTGTATGGCCCCCATACTCATGCCAGCTATCCTGGAACAGTCAAGAGTTCAATTGTGACCTGCTTCCTCCCTCACCCTCTTCTCCCCAACCTCCACACCACACTTCTTTGGGAAGATTTGTAAAAATTAAAGTTATTATATCCATGTAACTTTCTGTATTTCTTTTAAAATCCTTGTGCTACTAAGTTAAAGGGCTTTGACTCCTGGATCTAAAAAAGTCACCAACTCTGGCTAAATCTTAAACATTGACAGCAGTTGAAGCCTCATCTTCAGACCTAGGAGAAGAAGAAAATCAGAATAAGCTGCAGTCATGAGACATGGGTCCAGAAATTAAAACTATTCAACCCCTGTATTCCCAGAGACTATTGCAGAAGAAGTGGGTGTGTGAGCTTGTAAGGATCCATTTTAAGAGATAAAATTAGTTCAGAGTTTTTCTCTATAAATAAACAGTTGCGTTTGTTGTTGTTTTGAGACAGTCCAGCTATGTCATCCAGGCTGGAGTACAGTGGCATTATCCTGGCTAACTGCAACCTCTGCCCCGCAAGACGGGCACCTCAGCCTCCCAAGCAGCAGGGACTATGGGGGTGCACCACCCTGCCTGGCTAATTTTTGTATTTTTATAGAGACAAGATTTCACCATGTTGCCCAAGCTGGTCTTGAACGCCTCAGCTCAAGATATCCTCCTGTCTAGGCCTTCCAAAGTGCTGAGTTTGCAGGCATGAGCCACCGTGCCCAGTCTATAAATTAAACATTAATATCAAAGGAACACTGATTCAAGACAAGCATGTGGGTCAGACTAACAATGTTTTCTTGGAGCATCAACACATTCCTTACTTAAAAATTATGAAAGATTATGAGAAGGTTTACAAAAATTATATCTTATGGTCAAGATGATAAAAATTTAATATATTTGTCTGTAAAATGTAATTGACTTCATCCTGTCTTTATTAGGTTTTATTGTTTGGGAAAGTAAGTCTCAAAGAGTAAAAGTTTTTGCCTTTTTGTTTTTAAAATATTTGAGCTACCACTTTGACTAAATGAATGGCTTATTTTACAATGACCTGTGATGCTATTTTGTGATATTGTGTTTTCAAGCTTTGATGTTTCACAAACTTTCCAAAATCTAAATCTAAATTTAGGGTTTTGGTCTCACTAATTTTTTTGACATTACATCCCCTGAAATCCAAGGAGACATATTTGGCTTACTTGGTATAATAAAATTATCATTATCAAATATGAAATTATGTGTAACCTTATTTGACTTTTATTTATACAAATGTGTTATTAGTATGTGTCCCAAAATTGTATGAGATTCCTGTGATTCTGATATGTCTTAGAATATGTTATGAGAACTAATTATGATTATTATATTAAATTGTTATGTACCATAGATGTAACCAAATTTCCTTGTCAAATGTGTCTTTAACCATGGTTGTTCTAATACTTTTGTCATCCACAATCATTGTTTTACTTTGATCCTTTTTTAGGGTGGTTTATAATCAGTTATAGAGCTCTGAGGACTACTTTTTCTTTTTCTTTTGCTGTTTTTTTATGAGACTGGGTCTCACTCTGTCACCCAGTCTGCAATGCAGTGGCATCACTGCTCACTTCAGCCTCAGTCTCCTAGGCTCAAACAATCCTCCCACCTCAGTCTCCCAAGTAGCTGAGACTACAGGCGCACACCACACACCCAGCTAATTTTTAAAATTTTTGTAGAGATGGAGTCTCCCTATGTTACCCAGGCTGGTTTCAAACTCCTGGGTCAAGCAATCCTGCCCCCTCAGCCTCTCAAACTGCTGGGATTACAGACATGAGCCACCACACCCAGTCTTTTAATACATTGTCTCTTCATTAACAAATACTAAGTGTCTATATTGTGCTACAAAGTGATCAAAGTTCCAGAGATAAGTGATCAACAAGCAGAAATGGACTTGCCCATAAAGTGTTTGACACAATCAGGGGCTGAAAAAAAGCAAAGCAGTAAGTATGACAACAAATAAATAAGACAGTGTTTATGTGATGAATACTATCAAGAAACCTAACGCAAGTTAGATGGAAAAGTAACTAAAAGGATGACATATTAGCTAGTGTAGTAAAAACAGAATTATCAGAGATACCTCCACTTTGATATGAATAATGCAATGAACAAAGCAAAGAAAAAAAAAAATCTGGGCCAGGTGCAGTGCTCACACCTGTAATCCTAGCATTTTGGGAGGCCAAGATGGGCAGATCACTTGAGGCCAGCAGTTTGAGACCAGCCTGGCAAACGTGATGGAAACTCATCTCTACTAAAAGTACAAATAAATTAGCTGGGCATGGTGGCCTGCAACTATAATGCCAGCTACTCAATAGGCTGAGGTGGGAGAATTGTTTGAATATGGGAAGTGGAGGTTGCAGTGAGCCAAGATCACACCACTGCACTCCAGCCTGGGCAACAGAGCAAGATCCTGTCTCAAAAAGAAGGAAAAAATCTAAAGGTGGAGTTACCCTCATGAGAGACTATAAAGTACAAAGATTCTAAGACTAGAACAATTTTATTATGGGCTGGGTATAGTGGTTCACACCAGTTATCCCAGCACTATGGGAGACTGAGGCAGGAGGATCACTTGAGGCTAGAATCCCAAAACCAGCCCAAGAAACATGGTGAAACCCCATCTCTATACATATAAAAAATATTTTTAATTAGCTGGATGTCGTGGTGTCCGCCTGTAGTGCCAGCCACTCAGGAGGCTGAGGCAAAAGGATTGCTTGAGCCCAGGAGTTGGAGGCTGAAGTGAGCTATTATGGTACCAACAATGTTGTCATACATATTTTGACTAACTTCCTTTTTAGAGACCTTGACAATTTTTCTTAGATAACAACATAACATGTTTACGATATCAAAGACTCTCAAAGCTATCCTTGGTTTGGATGACGTAGTATCGTTTATATTCGGCAACACACAACTGTTGAGCTTCATCGACAACTGTTTAACATCTAAAATTCCTTTTTTATTTTTATTGTGTGTATACACAGCCTTGCTATGTTGTCACGATGGCCTCAAACTCCATGGTCCTCAAGTGATCCTTCCATTTCAGCATCCAAGCAGCTGAAACTACAGGTGGGTGTACCACGCATCTGTGCAGCTAAGATATCTTCTTACGTAAGTTAAAATATACTAATATAACACTTACCATTCTGCAAATTATGACAATAGGGAATTCATTTACCTATGCTATCAGTTTTCTATACCTCTCTTTAATGATTTTTTCTTCTTAGACATCTTCTAATGTATTTATTACACTGTTGTAAACATTGCTAAAAATGTAAAAATCACTCCTGTTGCCATCACTTCAACCATAATATTTGTTTCCCTCTTGTATAGTACGTCCGGCTCTCTCTGCGTTTATTTCATAATGCGTGCTAATTTTTTATGTAAGCTTGTCTCATAGCTGACACATGTTATTGGGCTGCCTGCATTCTTTAAATATGTGTCAGCATTACACCTGGAAGTGTGCTCCGGGCCATGTGCCTCTGGCATTATACCTTGGGAAGGTTGGCGCCTGCTGTGCTCATAGTTCTTTGGTAAATGACCATTCTATAATAATTACTGCAATATTCCTACCAATCTGATGTGTGTGTCGTGTGTGTGCTGTATATTATATAATATATGATATTTCTTTGTTAAAAACTACTTTAAAAACGTTGTCCCAGGAACAGCTTATGTAATTTACAGCTCCAGAGAGACTCCAGGTTTCACCCATGTTGGCCAGGCTGGTCCTCAAACTCCAACCTTGTGATCCTGCCCGTCTCAGCCTCCCAAAGTGCTGGGATTCACAGGTGTGAGCCACCCGCCCAGACCAACTTTTTTTTTTTTTTTTCCCCTTAAATTTAGGGACATGGTCCTCACTCTGTAGCTCAGGCTAGAATTCAGTGGTA